ACACACACACACACACACACACACACACATCTATGCAACTGATGAAAATGCAAGTTACTTGAGTACTGAAAAGCTCTTGTGGGAAGGGAGGGAGAGGGCGTTGGGAGAGAATAGCCAGAGCATCCAGCCTCCCGGGAACCACAAGTAGGGGTCCACATAGCTACCCCCACTCCCAGCACCTCACAATCCCTCCACTTCAACCCCAGCCCCAATCCAGGTCTTCCTGGGGCTCCAGAAGAATTCTAGGGAAACTCCAGGCACTAATGCCTGGAAGGCACAATAGTCTAGGCACTCTACCACCACATGGTGGCATTTTGGCAGCAATGCAGTCCTTAAAAGATGAGGGTCCTACTTAGAACCCTTAGCACTGTATACATGGATACTTCTGTCCAGGGACAACTGTAAACCAGTTCCTAATTAGTGACATTCTTAGAATGATTCAAGTGTTATGTCCAGCCACATCCTTGGTCATATACACTCCCCTTGATGGCAACAGCTATTGCCATTTTCTTGTTAGTTTCATTAAAAAACCTAAGTCCATCTGACTCATCTTGAACCCAAATATTATTTGAGTTTCAGCTGTAAAGGACAGTTACAGCTGGCTGAAAACACTTTAAGCCCATTTTTCAGCCATAGTGTATATATATAAACCTTTAATATCACCATTGTCTGTATGAAAAAACCAATGCCTACCAAGTTGTCTAAATATCTATCCAATTTTCTCTGAAAGGTTTGCCTAAGATGTTTATATACTACACGCATTCTAAGCCATTCAAGGCTAAGATTTTATATTTTAAAATGCTATGTAGTCATTGACACAAACATAACAATACCAGAAGTTCAGTAAGTCTTCAGTTTGTGCATATAAAATGCATTTGTGAGTGACATGAAAAAGAATAAAATTAATTAAAAATCGTCATCTGAACATACTAAAAGGAATCCAACAGCTTGTCTGAAATTAAATAAACTTTTGAAATGAAAGAACTTCAGATCTGTATTGAATATTGAGCAGAATTATTTTAGGTATGAAAATGTTACTTGAATTAGTTGAAATGACTAGAAATACTCATTTCAAATTTTCACTTAAAAATATACACACAGAAGAGTTTGGAAAAAATTAATATTATTTAACATTTTTCTGACTTAAATATTCCACATAACAAAATGTTATTTTAATTCACCAGCTATATTACTTATATACATATGCCAAGAGTTAACAAAAGAAATTAAGAGGTGCCCTATCAAAACCAGCAGTGATTTCTTGCTTCAGGAATCTGAAATGACTAGGTCTCATAATACACAAAGTATTGATAATATTTACAGAAAAGGGGGGAGAAGATTGGATCTGAGGGCAATTATTCAGGAAGTAAAATAAAAACCAACTCTATTTTACAAGACAGTAAATCTAACACTGATCTAGAAGTGTTCATATGAAGATGAAAATGTGTTGAACTCTTCCTGCAACTGCAATTAGTATTTACAAAATATACTGAACAGCCACACAGAGGCTTATATATCTGTATATATACATATATATAATATGTACACACACTATATATAAAAAATATAAATAAATTCAAAGGAACAGAGTAAAAGTAAGAAAAGAGCTTTCTGTCTTTGGAATGTCTAAAAGATGACATTTATTCCAGTGTTTCTTTGTTTTGAATATGCTAAACAAATGGCACGTTTCAGGTGAGCACTAAATTAACTAGCTAGTTTTACTGAAACAATGATTTAAAGAAGTAAAATATTTTCAGAATTGATTAAAAAGAAAATAAGGATTTTATGGACTTGGTACTGTAACTTTTTACACTACAGATTACTTCTATGTTAAACTGAAGCAACCTGTTGTGTAGTTCACTTCCTGCAAGCTATTCAATGTAAAAGTTTATGCTATTTATCACGCTTAGTATATGGCTGTGCTTTCCACAGATACTGAGATATGTATCTGATGATCCATACGGAAAACAAAAAGGTGATGTTCAATCAGTTCATCTTCTAGCTGAATTCTCTTGGAGGCTTTATTGCTGAGTTTGAAGCCTCAGACATTTTAATGTAAAAATAATGGCCATCTGTCTTTGAAATCAGAATAGAAATGACTCAGCTCTCTCAAGAGGTTAGCTTTAGAAATGTCCTGTAATGCAACAGAGATTCACTTTCTACCACTTCTTAAAATGCACCAAGAGGTTAAAAACAGAAATGTAACAATTTCCTGTGAAATGTAAAATTCAACTCTGTACTGCATACATCTACTTCTTAACATTTTTCTTTCCAATGCCAAATATTTCTTTATATACTAAAAAAATTAATGAGATTTCATGGAGTTCCTACTTTGCTAATACTGGGGAACCACTCTTTCCTGACATGAAGTTCCAGTTAATTTTTCAAGTAGATACACTGACTGTGAATTAGAAGATGAAACTGCATATATTACCTGAGTTCACTGATTTGTAGACAACTAAGCACAAATTAATTGATGGGGTTTTTTTTTCCAATATTGTTCTACAAGCTTACAAAAGACAATGATTCTTTAGGTACTTTTTGTAAATAATTAAAAAAACTATAATATATTATTCTACTGTTAATGTTTTCAATGCTTGAAGCTTTAACTGTAAAATCCATATTCTTTACTTTTCTCAAAAGTTATGTAGAGAATTTTCAAGTCCTGAAAGCCTTTTAAGCTTTCACCCAAGTGTCATCGAAATACATTGCTTATACTCTGCCATTCATTTGAGGATTCTTGAACCACCTCTTCTAAATTCAAAGCACGATTAATGTCTTCCCCTTCTTGTTCTTGGTGACTGGCAGATTCTTGTACAGTACCTATCATAGTGTAACAGAAAAAGAGGGATGAATACTATACATAAAAACTGCACAGATGAGAAAAAGTAGAAACAAGGGACTTATTGTGCAACTTACCTAGATTTTGTAAATCAATTAGAAATATACTTTAAAAATGTTCAGTCAAAGGTAACAGGGTAAATCACTAGAACTGGCTAGTACCAGTAATTTTACAAAACTGCATATCATCTGTATGCCAGATTTTAGCATTTCTTATCATAGAGCTCTACACATCAGGGCTGTCCAATTCACGGCCTTCCAAGGGATTACATTTTAAATTAAATTTGCAGTGCGTGGACTTCTACCTGGGCACCACTCCCCATCCTTCTCCTGCTGTTGCTATTGTTTGGTTCTCTGCACCCCGCTCCTTGCTCCTCCAACTTCTGCTTCCTGGAAGCCTCTGGGGGCAGGGCAGAGTGAGGTGGGGAGAGAATACAGATGGTGGCCCCTAGCCACTCCAAAGTTGGACAGCCCTGATGTACATTACAGAACCAAGATGATACTGGTACCACTCAATGACTTCTGCTTAAAACCACCAGCTTAGTTGGTTTTGCATTCAGCTACACACTTATCACTTCATTTATATATATCACCCATTTCCCATACATTTCCTATGTTTTTCTGAGAGAATTTGGCTTTTGACATTCAACATTACTACATGTCATGTTACTTACCAACATAGCCATGAGCTCTTTTCATATGAAGTTTCATATTGCTTTTCTGTGTAAAGCCCATTGCACAGTAATCACACTTATAAGGCCTCTCTCCTGTGTGCTTTTTCATATGCACTTGAAGCGCACTCTTCTGGTTAAAGGCTTTTTCACAAAGTGTACACTGAAATGGACGCTCCCCTGGACATGAGAGAAATGTGTACTTCTCAGTTAACAAAAGTGAAGGATTCCAAATCCCCTAGGAAGGCATTTATATTTCTCAATGTGAAAATAGATATAAATATGTCTCAATTTTTATATTCATTATTTTATTTTTCTATTCCCAACCTCTCTTTTGCTCTGTGTTGCTCAAGAGATGCATAAGTAATGCTAAAATATTTAAACTAATTTTAAATGGTTAATAAAAGCATCACATGAACACAAGGCCAAGACCTATCAGTTCCTCAACCGTTTTTTTCCACCCTGGTAAAATTCTTCTTTCAATAAAACCTATAGTAACCTCCCTTTCGGCCAGCTCCTTTATCCAGCTTACATAAACCTCTCCATTACAGCTAATAATTTCCTGAGAGATACAATGTCAACTGTTTTGCTTAAAGCCAGTAAGATTAGGTCCAACTACTCTTATTACAGAAATCAATTATCCCATCATAGAAAGATATCCAATTACTTTGACAATCTTTTTTTCGGTAAATCCACAATTCATATTTTGTGTATATGTTCTTGATCATTCTTTCTGTCAAAATCTGTTCTAAGACCATGTAAGCTAACAGGCCTGAAGTTCCCTGGGTTTCTTCCCCTCAGCCTTTTTATGCCCCCTCTTTTGTTTTGTTTTTTTACATACAAAGTACTGCATTTGCTCTTCTCCAGTTATAAGATACTGAATTAGCAAACCTATCAATTAATATACCAGTGCCCAACTTTTCCAATTTGAGGGTCAAATCTAGTATTTCATTATGGTCAAAAGACACAAAGACAAAACTGTTCACAGGGCCCTGGTTAGGCTGAGGTGCTTCACTCAGACTATCCACCAGGCAGTGGATACTGAAAAGCAATGCAAATTATTCCTTCTTTTCCGCTACCTAGTTGCATCTAATGGGAGGTAAAGCTAGAAGCTGGTTGCCAGCTCTTCTTTTTCTTTGGTTGCCCAATTATTTATTGTATCATCTTAGTTATGGACCAGGCTCCCACTGTGTACAAACCATCATCGCTACTGTTATTACCTTTATCATTATTAATCATACTATATTTAACATCAACATTATTAATTATATTCAACATAAAAACAATTGTAGATCCTGTCAGAGCATTTTAAAACAGTACAAAACAAAAGGCAAGTACAGCTGAGGAAAGTACCAAAAAACGAGACAAAAACAATCGGTGACAGGCAGTGGTTTTAGCACATCAGCAGCCTCAGAAGTTGTTTTGTAAGCATCATAACAACAGAGAATTTAAAGAAGGGATTTGAGGTACATGTGAATGTTTGTAAGGAACTTCTCCAAAGCCTGGGTGGCAGTATGGGAAAAAGCATGTAAGTGCTTATTTGAAAATGTCACTGGTGGGTAATGGATACTGGCATTCTGGGTTGACTGGAGGCAGGACTCAATATCTTCATACCTAATAAAAGTTGATAGGAAGAGTGAGGATAAGCTTTAAAGGCCCTTGAAAATGATGACAAGTAGTTGATGTTCAGTTTAATAGAGAAGAGTAAACCAGTAGATAGAAATAAGGAGAAGAATGATGTGGTCAAAGTGACCAGCTAGGAAACTGTTCTATGCAACAGCATATAAAACCAATGCAAATAAGCAGAGTGAGATTGCACTTGCTAACTAAAGAAAAAAAGCATTTTTCAGTTAGCTCTGAGCTAGAGTTAGCTCTGTGGAGATGCTGAAAGAATCTGCCAGACTTATACTGAGTGTGAAGAAACAGGGTAAAGCCCAAATTAAAGACAATGTCTAGATTATGGGTTTAAGGTAGGGGTGCTCATCCTCCGGCCCATGGGCCAGACCCAGCCACAGGGCTCCCCACAGTTCTGGAAATTTGTTGGTGGGGGAATAGTGGTGCTGTTCCCCTGCTGCCAAATCTCTGGACGCCTTGGGAGCCCTGGGCCCTGCACGCTGGACCCAGTGCTGATCTCAGTGCACAGGGCTAGGCAGGGGCAGTTCTGGATCACAGGGTCCAATCCCAGTGTGTGGGTCTGCCCCCTCCCACTCCAGAACCCAATTCCAACATGTGAGGGATGGGAAAGGGCGGTGTCAGACCCCCAGGGCCCAATCCCAACACTCAAGGGATGGGAAGGGGAAGTGCTGGGCCCTCAGGGCCTAATTCCGGTATGTAGATGGGCTCCTGTGCAACTCATTTGGTCTGTGGTGCCAAACGATTGAGCGCCACTGGTTTAACGTATAAGCAAGCTGGCTATTAGTCAGAGAACCAGAAAGCAGGATAAGGATGGCACAGAATGGAAGATTAAGAAATCTGTTTTAGATATCATGGATTTCAGTTAATGCCCAAAATCTACAAAGATGTCAGGAGACAGAACTCTAGGTTTGGAGTGGGGTAGTCATCTTTTGCTCCTCATATGCTTAAGCACAGTAATCAAGCTTAATCCTGTCTTCTTTGGGTTTCCTATTCCACAGAAGGAAACCAGGCAATTGGGAAAATAACCCGTTCTCCTCCTTTTTTTTACAATTCACCAAGTAGAGGGTTGCTGCTAGACAGACACAGCAGGGAAGAAGACTGCAGCTGCTCAGAGCATTACCAGCTCATGTCGGAACTCATTCTAATATGCAGAGGAAGGCAGCTGGTGCTGCAGTGCTTCCAGCCTCTAGCAGGGGGTGAGCTTAAGGTTGGAAATCACTGAATTAAGAGAGTTAGAGGAAGTACTGCCTTGGAAAAGAGAGCTTAAGTGTTATTAAGAATATAATTTACCTAATACAACTACAATCTTAGAAAACAATTTATCTGAGTTATTTATAAATAAGTGTAAATGCATTAGCATGAGAACTTGAGAACCTGAGTAATCATCAAATGAAGTATAATTCACAGGCTTTGCTATCAGCAAACAGCGGGTTCCTACTTGTGTGCCTGACCACCACTGACCACCCTGCAAGACAGACAAACATCTACATGCATACAAATGCTCCCCTACCTGCCTCAGAAAAGTCGCATACAATATTTGTAAACAAAGTTAATTAACGGTTTACTCATAAAACTATTTCAGCCTGTTCCAGTAACTGACAAAATATTATTTACATAGTACTTAGCAGGGAAAATTGAGGCGCTCACATCAAAGTTGTGGTATTATGACCCCAAAGCATTTAAAACTTGAGGCAGAATCCCCACATGAGATTAGCTTAATAATAAGGAGATTTTTAAAATAAGAAATATCGGGTTTTTAATTTGCCTTTTGGTGTTTTAGAGCTCTTGTGTTTAATGAAGGTCAATATTCAGAAGTCCAGGATCAGAGGCTTTAAGCAAAACATAAAATACCACAAGATGCATAATAAAATTGTAAGAGCCAACAACAGTTGTTACCTGTGTGAATACGGCTGTGTCTCTCCAGCTGACTTGGCTTAGCAAAAGCCTTTTCACAAGTATCACATTTAAAAACTCTTGGTTTCTGAGAACTTAGTGATGGTCCAGCCTGATGGGTCTGCATGTGTTCCTAATCAAAATATATAAGAGTAAATATATTTAAATCTGCATGATATTCAAACAACCAAACATATTTTAGGGTCAGCAACTGAGGGTTTTAGTCATCAAAAGAAACATCAATGCGATTAAGATGGAAGACCAGATTCTGTTCTTTAAAAATGGAGGTGGTAAATTTTGGCCTCAAAGTCTTTATATATACGATTTACACATTAATAATTTTGTTAAGCATTTAGCTAGTATTTGTCAAGTTTTTCCTCTCACTGCATAAGCATAATTTTTACACAAATAAGATTTTTAGCCTTCAGTAGTTGGTTTACTGTACATGTTGACCATTTATAACAATGTTTCTTACAAATTCTGCAAACAATTACATTCTACATTGCTTTTCTGCAAATTGAACATTTACCTAGTTATCTGTTACAGCTGAGGCAAAATAAAATAGCCAGTTATCTGATATTGTTCCTTGAAACTGCATCTAGTCTCCATAGCCAACCCCGTGACAGTGTACAGCTACACCTCCACCGAAACCAGATTCTGCAACTGTACCAGTTTTGTGCAGTTACAAATTTCAAAATCAAATGATATCATATCAAACCCTCAAGGTACAAGCAAGCACAACTTTATAGTAAGAGTTCTTTTAACCTTGAAGGATTCCTTTAAGTATAATGCTCTTTGATCCCAGGTGACTCATCCTTTCAATCCCCCCCTGCTTCCATATATTCATGGACATTACTGTGCACAATATAAAGCAGGAATCAAAGGTATGGCTCACAGGCTGGAGAAGCCAACCCGTGGAGCCCTACAATACAGTGCCTGCACCAGACTGGACTTGTGCACTGGCTCCAGGGCCAGTCCAGATCAGCCCT